TCTCGAAATATTTTTTTTCGCAATGATGTGAAAAATGCTTAAAGAATTTTTAAATTTAAATATTTAAGCTCATGATTTTAGGCCGAAATAATTAAACATTGTTCAGGGAAATTTAAAACATATAGGATTTCTGTTACTAATAATTCTGCTAAAATAAAATATAATAATTCAATTAAATTTTTAAAATATTTCACTTTAAAATACCTAATTTTAATCTTTTTTGATGATTTGTAAATTAAATTACCAAAAACAAATCTGCGGAATCGCACCACAACCACCATAAAATATTGATTTCAACTGAACTTAATCTCCTTAAATTTTATAAATTTAAGCATTTTAATAAACTTTCTTTTTCTTAAAGAAAACTTTATTATTAAGTCATCATCTAATTACCATGTTTTATTTTTTTTTCAGTATTTTCTACCTTTAAAAGTTCTACTAAAGTTTCATGGTAAAAAAGGAGAAAAATTATAATTATTTTATAAAAAAAGTTTTTCAACATTAGGTTTCGATCAATGTTCAATAAATTATAATGAAAAATGTTCTCTAATATAATAGCATTATAAAAGCAATTAATAATAAAATAAGTGAAAAATTCATTATTTTGTATATTATTAGGTCTGTAAGTGATTCTTTGTGCATAATAACTTTCTTACGATGTGCTATAACTTATGGCTTTCTTTCACTTTTTTTTTTTCTTCTTTTGTATTTTGCAGAATATATTCGTTGAAATTGTAATGGGTGATTTTTTAAATTTGAAGAAAAATACAAAATATAATTTGCATTTAATTTTTAGTTACGTAGATAAAGCAATTGTCGCCAATGATTTTTGTTCAAAATGCAAATTATTCTACATTTAAACCTAAATAATATGTTCTAGGTGATTTATTCGAATTTTGTTCAGTTTTTACCGGAATTTTTGCAAAATTGTGCTGTTATGTGAAATGTCTAACGTTTAATACGCGTCATATTGTTTTCTAAAGCTGTAATAGATGTCTTATAGATGCTTGAAATATACTCCAAACATACTCCAAAAGAGTTTTCGAATCACATAATTGCGGCGATTAATTGATAGGTTTCAAATTTAATATGAAAGTAATTGCTCATTAAATGTTTTTTTGATTAATATTTGTTAAATTATTTGTTAAAATAAAATTAAAACAAAACACAGTAAAATATCAAGTTGACAATTATTTATGAATAAGCACGTGATGTTTTAATAGTGAAAATTCGAAAAACCTTACAACTAAAAAATCGCCCGTTACTTTGTGTATACATATATATGATGTTCATACGATATGTTCATACATATATCAATTCTTTATCCTGTATATATCATAAATATATATATATATATATATATATATATATATATATATGGTATACATGTATTTATGTACAACATTTATATGAAGATCTTATAAATCTTATAAAAATTTCTCTATTCTTATGATACGGTTTTCCGTCTAATGAGAAAAAGTTACTTTAAAAAAAACAAAAAAAATAAACATTTTTTTTTTATTTTATAGTTTTTTGTTTTAACACCTGTGCGATTCATAAAATACATTATTTAAGTACATGGAATATTCCTTTTTAAGAAACACGTATAAGAATTTAATTTACACATACCGTATGAACAGTGTACACACAATATATTCCTAATATATCGGATATAAAAATGTATTAAACAATATATATATATATACAAATATAAGATATACATATAGTAGAATTTAATATATATATATATATATATATAAAATATATATAATATATTTTATGTAAAAAATTATTTATCAGGAAAAATAAATAATGAACATCAATACTTTCAAAATATTTTGAATATACAGGAAAAAATTCGTATGATATTACTTAATTATTAAAAAAAAATAATTAAAAAAACTAAAAAGAATTTAAAAAACTAAAAAACGAAAATAAATAAATTTGGAAAACCTTGGAAATTTTTAAAGTTTTTAATGCATGCCTTAAAAATTGTTATATTTTCTTCTATTTCTAAGATTGTTATAATTTAATTTTCATACAAATTTAATTATTATAATAGTATTTTTATCTATATTTAAATAAATAAATAAATAAATAATTATTAATAATATTCAAGTATTTAGTTTTTTTACTTAAATTAATTTCGTATAAATTTTTTTTTGTAATTTTGCTAATGAATTTATTTTTATAAAAAAAAAAAACTTAAATTGAAATTTGTATAATTAATTTGATTTTGTAAAATTTTGTTCTAATTATAAATTTAAAAATATGACTTTGTGAAACAAAAATAATTACTTTGTGTTATACAATAAAGAGGAGTTTGCTTATATGTTTTAGATTTTTCAAGTATTTATGCCATAATCCACAAAAACAAATTATTTGAGAATCATCAAAATTTTTGATTTTAATATTTATTTATAGGAATTAGATTATTTGAAGTTTGTGAGATTGATTAAAGGATTTTTATTTGATGGGAAAATTTGAAACAGATTAGGTCTTTTGATTGATTTTTGCAAAACATTCGGAGCAATATTGTAACAGTGAAACAATAAACGAGGTGTCACGCAATATAATTTTAAAACTTTTTGTATTATAACCAATACTTTGCAGATAATTGAAGTGCGTTAGTTATAAGATAATTTAAATGTTTTATTTATGAACCCTACAATATATATATACTTTTTTACTGATATGTTTTCTTATCTCTATTATTTTTGAAAATCATTTAATTGCGCATTCCAGAATTAAAAACGTTATTATGCAAGTTGGCGACGAAAATAAGTCAATAATCGAAAATGTAGTCGACTACTATAATGTCAAATAATTAAATATTTAATAGCTAAATATTTACTAAATATTTCCAAAATTAAATGTGTGATGTTTGAGTAAGAATTGCAGAAGGACTGCTTGTTTACGATTTGTAATTAAAATCTTTAAATGTTTTATATATGCTCAAAAATTTCCTTAGTCCTTGTTAAATTTGATCTATTTTTATGAATTTACAAAAATATAATTTAATATAAAAGTTAATTAAAGTAATCTACACTTTCATGATCACATGTCTGATGTTTCTTTCATAAATACTTAAAAAATTTTTTTTTAACAAGAGTTCCCTTTGATCTTTTAAAATATAAAAAGAAAAATTTAGATAAACGTCCTTTTTATGTTTGTTGATGAAACAAAATGTTGATATCATTTTTGTGAACTTGAACCAAGAAGAGTATAAATGCAAATTTTATGTTTTATAAAAGTAATTAATTTTTCAAGAGAATACAGAAAATTTAATTACAATAATTAATTATAAAATTTCTTTTACAGAAAAATATAAATTGAATTTGAGAAAAATTTAAGATTTTCTAAAAAAAATTATACATATAGGTATATTTTAAAATTAAAGTACAAAAATCTTATTACAAATTGCCTATAAACGTAAAAAATGCCAAAAATTATATATGAGAATGTCAACTATATTTATAATCATTCATAATATTTGTCATATATCACAAAAGTGATTTAGTATAGTTCAAACAAGCTAAATTTCATCCGATTCCATAATTAGGTTAATAAAAATAATTAAATCAAAATATTTTCACAAAATAATTAAATTAAACATAAAAATATTTGTTGAAAATTTTTTTTTAATCATAAATTTTTAAAAGAGCGATTGAGTGATTTCTTATATATATGAGAAGATGCTACAATATCATATTTTTCTTATATGCTGAAACTTGGATCAGACATAAAATTCAGCTAAAATTTAAGTTCCAGTTAAATCTAAGACTAAATCCAGGAAAAAGTCTAATGATTGTTTACATTTCAGATCGAATTATCTGATTGAGTTCAAATCTTACGATAAAATTTAACAACTTCTTACAAAAACTATAAGACCAATTTAATTACTATCCAAAACTGCAAAAAAAAAAATTGTCGTCATTAAAATTTTAAAAAATGTGCGATAAATCTGATAAGAATATAAAGTAATTTTCATTAAAGATGGTAAAACACAAAGTCTCATGTCAAAACTCTTGTGTTTACATATACGATTTTCATTAGATTCAAATTAAATGATGTTATGTATGTAAACAGTATCTTATATAATGTGAAAACGATTTTCTATTGCGGCTAAAATTACGGAGTAATTAATTGAAAAGAAAAACGCATTATTTTCCTATATTGTGACCATAGGCATTATAGACTCGTAAAATATTTCTAATTGATTTCTTATATACATAAATAAATTATCAAAAGATTTGAAATGAGTAGTCAATCAAGTTTAAAATTAAAATTTCGATATTTTTAATATTCAAACGTTCTATTTTGCAGTATAAAAAAATTTCTTATGAGAGAATATCAGGTTTTTTTTCGTATTATTTTTTCTAACGTTTACACATAACCTTTAATACAGAAATTTTTACAAAACTTAATAAATATTTTATTTAAAATTGTAAATAATGTATGTATAACTTCATATGTTGTTATTTTTTTTAATAATTATGCGCATATTTAGTACATATACATATAGTACGTTAATATATATTTTTTTTTAATTAAAATCGTTAAATTGCATGTTATATGTTCATAATATTATAGTTTTTTTTTTTTGAAAATATTGTTAGGATTATTTTAATATTACAATAGTTAAATTTTTTCCTCCCTTCATTGTATACATCTTATATACATATAATATAAACATTAAATATGCCTTCATATTTACATAATATATATATAGCATTATATAAATAGCATATATAGCAGTTATATTTCGAAATTTAACATCCTTATCAAGTTTTCAATTTACTTATATTTTTATATTATTTTTCTTTTTCTTAAATAATTAATGCAAGAATTTTTTAAATTTAATTTTTTAAATATAATTTTTTTTATTATACATATAAGATTATAAAAACTAAAATAACAAAAAAAAATTAATTAATTTTTTTTTATTTTTTTTTTCTATTTTTTTTCTTTTTTTTTTCTTCTTAAATTCTTTTCAGTAGTGGTGGCCGAATGTGGGGAATGTCTCATTCATTACCATCTGGAATGGTTCGTATATTTTGTTTCAATTTGTTTTTTTTCGAAATTTTAAATTTATTATTTTCGGAAAAAATTTTATTATATTTAAATAATATTTTATTTGAATTTTTTTTTTTGTTTTAAAAAATTATTATAAATATTATTAAATTAAATAATAAATTAAAATATTTTATATATATTATTATATTTAAAAAAAAAAAAATATAAATTTAACCGTTTATTGCTTGCACTGGAATTTAAAATTTTTTCAAAGAATTTCAAAACTTGTGTCATATTTCATGTTTCTTTGCATTGCCTTTTGTTTTTCATATTCAAATTTTATTATGATTCAAAAAAAAAAAAAAATAATTTAAAAAAAAAAAAGAAAAAGTGTAGTAAAGATTACAATATTTTTAAAAAAATATACTGAAATAAAAAAAAAAAACTGATTTCAAAATTGCAGTAATACGATATTAATGTACACAATTCAGAATTTGTAATTGCTGAATTATTCAACAACACAGTATTATTACAATTTTGCAGTCATGGACATGATTTGAAACTTTTATATACCGTATAGTAAATACGGTAATAAATCTTTGAGTGTGTTATGGTTTCATATAACATTATAAATTGTGATTTCTTTAAAATGAATTTTGTTAAATTAAGGGAGACTTTGTAATATTATATATACTTAAGCGTGTATTACAATAAGTTTTTGAATTGAACATTTTGTATTGCAGTTAAAAAAGTAAATAGAAGAACTAAAATAAATTAATATAAAAAATGCATTTATTCAATATTATATTGTAAGTGACATATGTATTTTAACATTTTAAATGTATGATACTATATTTGATGTGCAACACTGTAAGCTGCATCATTCTATACAAACATCTTTAATATTTAATTTTGCATACAAAAAGACCTTCCATTTCAAAACTAAACTCCAAACGGAATATTGTATTCATGTAGCTAAATGTAAAATATGCAAAAGCATAAAATAATACCAATTATTCATAAAAAAATTGCATATAATTAGGTATTGCAATACCTTTAAATTATTACAATAATTTCTAAATACATTAGCTAATTATTTAAATTATTTCTTTTAGTAATTAGCTAATATTTAAATTTTAATGAATGCTTACAAATTAATACTTTCAATTGTTATAATTAAAATATACATATATATTGTTATATTTAAACATTAAAGTAATTTGATTGAAAATCATAGTATACTTACTTATTCAGTATAATTTTAAGCTAAGAATAATTCACTTGTAAAAATTTTATCTGTTTTTCGATCGAATTTTCATTGATTCTTCTTTAATACATATTTAGATTGTTTTTCATTTCAAGGGGGGAAGAAAGCAAAAAAGAATGTTCTGGTTTCGTTTAATTTAATCTTGCCTTAATAATTATTTTGGCCGAATTATTTTTAAATCTTTGATTCTCACATAATATGCCATACCCTTCTAGTATATGAATTTCGATTCCCTTAATTTAGCAATAGATTTTAAAGAAATCATTTTTTTTTCAAAAGTGTATTATGATATACATCAATTAAAATTATAATATGAATAACTTTCGCATAATATTGCGAAATTTATTAGACTTTTTCTCTATTTTTTTTATAAATTTTATATATATTTTATATGATTATTATGAAAAAAAAAATATCTTTAAAATTTTTTTTATTATTATACCCTTAATAAAATATGGATATGTTAAAAATAATAAAATAATTATATAAATAAGAAGTTAAAAGATTAAAAAAAAAAATTATATTTTATTGCAATTTTAAAATCATTTTCGTTTTTATAATTTAATTTATAATTTTCTATATATAAATAATTTTATTTATTTAAAGTTTAATTTCTGTTTTTTTTTCTTTAATTTAATTTAAAATTTTAAAAATTTTAATAAATTTTATTAATTTTTGTTTTAATCCTGTGTTATTTATTCTTTTTTTTTAGAATTTATTTTATTATAGTAAATAAAATTTTCAACAATTTTACGTAACAGAAACGCGATATTTTACTAATTTTAATATTGAATTACGATTCAAAAGATAATAATTATAACATTGTTTTTTGTAAAATACTAACAAATTAGATTCGTATATTAAAAAATATTAAATAATTCGATTAATAAAGGTTTTAATTAATTTAACTTCAATAAAATTAGTTAATATTTACAGAAGAAATTCTATAATTTGAATAAAATTCTAAACGCCAGAAATAAGTTATTTAGGATAGGATAGTCCATAATATAAAAAACACAATCAAAAAATTTAAACAGTCAGGTTGTACAAGAAAAATACATCCTATTTTTAAATAAGTTTAAACTTCAAGAGATTGAAATATAAAAAGAAAATTTTAAGTGTATATATATAAAAAATATATTAGAACAATAGCATTCTTATTGAAAAAACAAGCATATACGATATATACAGTTTAGATTTTAATTTTAATTATAAAATCAATTCCATATTGAATACTTTTTACAGTTCTAAAAATTTTTATCGTTTTATAAACTTTAAATATGTAACAAGTCATTAATTTATCAAATTGAACAAACTTTCTTAATATTTATTTAATAAAAATAGCAGTTCCATTCACATATGTATATATATATAATAAAAACTTCATAAAATCTCAAAATCTTTCAGATCATGAATACTTTAAATCTTAAATATAATGTAAAAATTGAAACATAAAATTATTTTTTACTACGTACTATTCCTTCCGATTCCAATTTTATTTTTATATTGTACATAATAAAATCCTCTAAAATTTTATCTTTTATATAACAGTTAACTATTAAAAATAGGTTAACGGAGCAGGATATAAGTTATTAAATTTGAAATTAAGTTCTTTTTTTTCTTTCTTCACATATAGAAGAAGCTCAAACAAAGCGGTTAATCTTACAATTTTTATCGCTTTTATTGATATTATTAAAAAAAATTCCCTCTACTAAAAATCATTTTATTATACTTATCTCTTACATTAATATATTTACTTACATATATATATATAAGCTTAATATTTTCAGAGAAATTTTAATTTCTATATATTATGTACTTAAAATCTTAATCATATTCCAATACTTCCTTAATTTTAATCTTTTTTCATATTTTTTTTTTTTAAAATAATATTTTTCCCTATTATAATCAAAATTCAAAGGAAAAATTTATTTTTAATTTTATCAATTTCCTGTATGTGTTAAGGGAATTTTTTTTTTTATAAACCTACTTACATACATGCCCATTATCTATTATCATATATGTACAAATCAATTTCAAGAAATATAGATGATTATTTTTTTTTTAATAGAAAAACAAATATTCAAAATGTCTGAATGAGAAATGTATGAGAATAATAAAAACAAAATTGTTATACACTTACTTATTTCCTATATTTATAAAAATATTTTTTTTTTTTTTATTTGTAAACATTTATGATATTTCTTTAATATTTAAGATTCAAGGAAAAAATTCCATTACAATCAATCTAATAGTATGTACATATTATGCATACATAAATATACATTATTTTTTTCTTTTCAAAAAATTAAAGGAAGGAAGATGGATCCCTCGTATATCTATACATTTATGTGTTATATTTTATAAATCGATATTTTTTATAATATCATTTATAGTAATAACGTGATTCTATTATCCTTATTTGCAACAGGATATTATCACGTCGTACTATTTATATTTGATTTTTATAGTATTTAACGATTTAATATGCCTATATCGTACATGAAATTTGTACTTGAACATTGAGCAATTTTTCCTTTATACATATACATATTGTACCTTATTCCTTTTTTCTTCTAGTTTTTCTTCTTTTGGCATTTCTATCACAGTATTCATATTTAAATAAGCATATAGGTACTATTATTATTAAAAAAATATATATGTATCTACGAATACCTATATATGTATATATATAAATGTTTATATTAAAAGAAAATGTCAATTTTTTTTTTCGGTAAATCTACAAAAAAATCAAAAGAAAATTCTGTTTTTAAAAAATTATCAAATGTAATTTGGGTATATACATACATATATAAAATGTCAATCTTACATACATATATTATCATGTGTATAAATTTCTAATAATGTACAGTGTTTTCAGAAAATAATGAATCACAATATAATTAAGTATTGTATTGTATAACTATGGAACCATTAAAGTATTAATACTTTAATTTAGGTATTTAATATTTAAAAATTTTGGTGCTGAAAAAATTTTCGAGAATAAATTCGAACTATGATTCGAAAAGTTACAAGTCAAATTTTGATTATTAAACTACTCATATTTTATAATATGTTATTACATTGTGCACTCGATTTGAAATTTATGTCAATGGATAGTTTATACTACCACAACTTGTTAAGAATTGTGCAGTTCATTTTATACCTTCCTTTCTAATATTTCATCTCTTTTCGAATTTAAAGACGAAAATAGATTTTAAATGAAGTTAAAAGCTTTCAATTAGTAGAGGTAGTAATAGTTATAATAATTAAAAGTTTTTTCGAGTAGGTTATTTAAAAATTAAAATTGCAATTATTTTGAATTCAAATTTAATTATCTAGACCAGGAAGTGATCGGATATTTAAATAATTTTTTTTTAATTAAGGACGTTTCTAGGATTAAGGGCTACAGATGTAGTTTTACAGTTTAGAGTTATTTGCAAATTAAGTTAAAATTTCTTTAAATTTGTTGTTTTTTGAAAGGGAAATTTGTATTTTTCTATGTATACAAATTAAATTTCATTTCAATTGTGTTATTTTTGTTATTCAATAGTGTATTTCGAGTTTCTGAGTTAAAAATAACACAATATAATGTTCAAGATCAAGAATGATCAAGAAATTTCATTGTAATTTATTAAGCTTAGTACAATTACAAGTTCGAAAACCATTTTTCAATTAATTTATGAATTTATATCGATAAATAACATATGAATTTCTTTTTTCTTATTACATTTTTAAAAATTAATTTCAAACTTTTAATATA